ACCGCCTGGGATCTGGTACGCGGCGGCCGGCGACCGGGACCTGGTCACGCCGTGTGTGGCGCTCGGGCGGGCCCGTCGCGCTGGGTTTACCGCTGCTTGCCGCTGGGAGACTGGCGCCGCTGCTGCTGCCCCTGCCCGGGGTCCCAGCGGAGCGCCCCTGCGGCCCTGCCGGGACTGTCTGGCGGGGTTCACCGTCGGGGGTCGTGGGGCCGGGTGAACGCAGGAGGGGGAAGAGGGGGGGGGGGGAGGTGGGCTGCAGTGTTATCGCACTGTTTGCCTCACGCCCTAATCGTGCAGCAGTCCGGTAGACCCGGAACGGTCTGTAGAGGCCGAACGTATCCTGACCATACGAAACCCAGTTAGATGTAGCGGGCGGCCGCCACAGGACTCGCGGATGGGCATGCTCCGGGTGGTGTAGTCTGACAGCCCTGTTCGCATTTCAAACCACTCACGTCGTCACTTATTCCGCCACGGAATCAGCCGCGGCTTGACGGAGGGTGGCTGTTCCAGCTGTCGGAGCATCTCAAGAGTGTACATGCATGTCACCCTGGACTACATCTCGCCCGGGTCAGCTCGCTGCGTGCTGAAGCCCGTGTGTTTCGCCTTGTATGGCGTACTAACGCAGAGTGTCGCTGAAGTGAGATGATAAGGCCGAAATCGCCTGCCGCCGTGGTTTCAGTTCCCTGTTTTCTTTCATCACGAGGAAACGTTTCCTCTCAAGATGTCGTCTCCCCCTCTGCTTTCTCCCAAGGTGTCCTCTTTCCCTTCATTTCCTCCCAAGATGTCCTCTCCCCTCTGCTTTCTCCCAAGGTGTCTTCTTTCCCTTCATTTCCTCTCAAGATGTCCTCTCCCCTCTGCTTTTTCTCAAGGTGTCCTCTTTCCCTCCATTTCCTCCTAAGATGAAGATGACCTCTCCCCCTCCGCTTTCTCCCAAGGTGTCCTCTTTCCCTCTGTTTCCTCCCAAGATGACCTTTCCCCCTCTACTTTCTCTCAAGGTGCCCTCTTCCCCTCCATTTCCTCCCAAGATGACTTCCCCCCCTCTGCTTTCTCCCAAGGTGTCCTCTTTCCCTCCCTTTCCTCCCAAGATGACCTCTCCCCTCTGCTTTCTCCCAAGGTGTCATCTTTCCCTCCATGTCTTCCCAAGACGTCCTTTCCCCTTCAGGGGATGTCCTGTTTCTCTGTTTTATCTACTCCCGCCATGTGGTGCCACATCCCCAGCTGCTCGCTCCCCACCAGACACCGTCCCCCGTCCGCCGGCCGGTGCCGCGTGCTCAGTTCGACCTCCACCCACCAGGTGGTACCACGTCCCCAGCTGCTCGCCCCCCCCCCCCCCCCCACCAGACACCGTCCCCCGTCCGCCGGCCGGTGCCGCGTGCTCAGTTCGACCTCCACCCGCCAGGTGGTGCTGTGCGGCGCAGCCGGGGACGTGCCCTGCGCGGTGCGTCAGACCGGCGCTGGATTTGAGGTTACGTGCGGCGAGCACCAGCTGACAATGGCCGATGACTTCACGCTGGCCGAGCCCGTCATGAACCTCACCATCAACGGACAGCGCGAGATGGTGCAGCTGGTGCGGCGCGGCCTCAAGGGTGACGCCAGGCTCAGGTGCGCGGCGCCGCTGGGCCGGGGCAGGCGCGCGGCTCACGTCAGCCGCCTGCCGGCTTTCGGTCGCGCGCGCGCTGCTGCGCTCGACAAGGCGGTTGTGCTGCATGCTTCATGTGGGGTCAACTATCCATTGGCGCGGTCGATTTTCGGTTGTTTTTGGAGGGAAGGGGTCCACCGTCTCATCTTCCGAAAGTGTGGTTTTCGGGCTGTCCATGGTTTGAATTCTGATGAAACAGAACCAGTGAGTGAAGCTACCAGACGTTTCATCGTTGATCTGTCGAAAGCCAATCCCGTCTCGGATGCTGGGCGTCCTCGCTGCCCATGACGCCGGGGCCGTGTGCTGTCTCAGGTTCCGAGGAACGGCGTTTGACGTGCAGGTGTACTCGGACGCTGCCTACGAGTACTTCAAAATGATGCCGAAGAAAGAGGAGGTGAGACTCCGGTCCGTCGCTCGGGCACCGAAGCCGTGTTGTAGTTCTCGTGATAACACCGGGGCAGCCTTTTTGCTACATCTTTTACCTTGCTCCGTGTCGCCATTCATGTGCGCTCAGCCCTTCAGCAAAGCTCGCATGTAAGCGGATGGGCTTGCGGACGAGCTGGTCACTTGCCGCTGGAGGCCTTTCTGCGTGATGCGCCATGAGCTGGGCTGTCCATGAGTGACACCCAGAATAATGGCCGCACCCGGGAATGCCTCCTGTGACGCCACACCGCCATGCAGTGACATCATACCGCCGGTCTTGTCGGCTCGCAGGCGGACGTGGGCAAACAGGTGACGTCACCGATGCCGGGCCTGGTGAAGTCGGTGGCGGTGAGCGTCGGCGACATGGTCTCGGAGGGCCAGGAGGTATGCGTCATCGAGGCGATGAAGATGCAGAACTCCCTGGTGGCCGCGGCCACCGGCAAAGTGCGCGCCATCCACGTCAAGGAGGGCGACACCGTCGAAGACGAACAAATCTTGGTGGAGCTGGAGTAGGAGCGATGACAGCCGGCAGATGCGCGCGGACTCGCGGCTGCACGGTGGTGACATCTGCCGGCGCGATGGGAAGCTGTTGACGCTGCGGGGCGAGCGTTGATTTTTGTATTGGACGGTGCTTAATGGTAGCGGTGGCGTGGCAGTTCTTCGTGATCGTTACCGCGTGTCGATTGTCACTTCTCTTGTTCGTCGGGTCTGCATTAGGCTGTGAGGTAATGATTAATTAGTTTTCAATTAAGTTGCAGTGAAGACAATTTGGTTCTTGTCGCATTTAACTCATCGCTTCCCCCATACAGTATGGCAAGGACAATTGATAACGGGTCTACCTGACCCTTGCCATCATCTTAGAGGACCATGTTGTGTAGAACAGTATGCGTATGAATATTGAAGACACCTGCCTTTTGTTACGTAGATTGTATTGGGATTTGGAGTGAGCCAGTGGAAGTTGCAGTGTGCTATGCGACGTGGGACGTGCAATATGATGTAGCGACGAGATCATCTCGGAGAGTTTACCTATGTGTGCAGCAGAGAGATGGATTGCAACCAAAATGACACCGCGTGCGTCGAATTCACCCTCCTCCAGACGGACTGCAGCGACCGTGGTACTTTATGTCCGTTATCAGTTCGCAATCACAGACACAAGCTCATATCTCGGTAGCATGGCGCCAACACATCACCAGAACGCGATTCGACCCCTCTATCTGCCCGCACTTTTTCCCCACACCTCATGGGTACTAACGTCGGTGCGAGCGGAGATGGGACACCTGCCAGCCGATGTCGACTCTGAGCGGTGGCCGCGCGCGGAGCAACCCGCACCGGGGGGAGCGGAGCGCTGCCGTCTCGCGCGGCGCCGTGGCGCCCCAAATCACACCACACGAACGTCACCAGAGGCGGCGGCGTGCCTGGCAGGGGATGGCTTTGGCCGCGATCAGTCGCGTCATGGTGCTGCTCGGCACGGTGCCGTCTGATGTGTGGGCAACAGAATGAGTCAGCACTAGCGCGTACTTTGGACCGCGGGTGCAGCCTACCTCTGCCCCAGACTTGACGGCAAGAGTTCAGTCTCTTGAGGTCAAACATGTCGATCCAGCACAGGACTGCGCATTGGCCAACGAGGAATGGTAGGGGCTCCACCCTGCCCCCCTCTCCCCATCCTTGGGGTTGGCCAGCACAGCGCCTGTGATGTTTCGTGCATTAGCGGGTTAGTGACCCCATGATGCCAGTTGGCTGCCGGCAGCCCAAGTGTAGTCATCATCCGGCGCTTGCTTACGCGGAGTTCGCCGCGGGTCGTCTCGTGTTCTTATATGATCAATCAGTCCCAAGGGCTGAGCTTTGAACTCGGGCCCTCACATGGGATTGCAGTCACGTCCAATGGACCAGGGATACAGCCAGAACTCATCATCGGTCAGGACGCATTTCGCCGCTTTCTTACTTCTGTCAGAAGCCATCTATGATGAAAAACCTTGAGCCTTATGTGGCTCACTGTGAGCCTAAAGGGAAGGGAGAGGGGCACAACTCCCCCGGCTGCACCCCTGCAATCGACCAACGCGCCCTTACGATGCAGAGACAATGCGGCGACTGTGTCATACTCCACCGCATAACGCATGCGGAGTCATGGCTGGTCGAGGGCTGATCGCGCAGGTCAGATGATATATATTTTGCCCATCGGCGATGCATTAGCTCAACGTCTCCACGAGAGTTGCCGGGGGATGCCTTGTGAAAGGCCTACGGTGCGGAACCACGTCTTGTCGATAAGCAAAATATCGCGGGACTCGCGCCATTGCAAGCCAAAGCCGTCGGCACTTTTGCGGACAGGGGCTTGCCCTTTCTCACGATGCATGCTATAATAAACCTGCGTTGGCCCACATTACTGGACGTTTGGAGCGCAATGGAATTACCACAGGCTCAAAAATTGTTGACATCAGGGTATCAGCCGTGCCTCCAAATTACATCCGCTCCGTCACAGACGAAGGGTGGAGCTGGCGGGCCCTTTACAGTCTTGTTGCAGGATTTTATTTGACGCCTATGGCGTTGCAAGGAAAAACATCTCTCGGAAAACATTCCTAACCATTTGGTCTCGTCGTGGAGTCAATTCTCCTGAACCCCCCCCCCCCCCCCCCCAGACATCGGCTCTAATTCTGTCATGTCGACGTGAAATGTAATAGAAGATTACCTAGGTCCAGTTAGGACACCAACTCAGAAATAGCATGATTCTGAAAGCACGCCATTCGTTCCCCTCCATATCAATATCGACCTCCATAAGAAACTAGTGAACCAAGTCTTGCGGAGATCTAAGGTTTTGGATGCGTCAGGCTATCACATAAATTACTTCGTGTTCGGTAGATTCCTTTAGATCTGGGAGCAATAGTGGGGCCCACCCAATCTGGGGCAGCTGATACATGTTTGGGGAAAGCCTCTAAGGGCACGGACTTGGGGGGAAGGGGTCGCGCGTTGGGTGTTGTGTAGGGCGCCATAATATTTGTTGTTGCCTTCCTTCCCTGTGTTACTATCCGCATCCGGTTATTGAACGTAAAAGTGAAAGTCTGACCTGCGAGACCAAAGAAGATATCACCCCGGCTAGAAATTAAGAGTAGGGCCAGGTTGTTAGAATAGACGCGGTACGTACCAGCGTTTTAACATCTGTGCCTGCCTATAAAATTTGATCATATCACAAGTGGTTGTCTGCATAGTCGTACAATTAGCCATTTGCTTTTGTAAATCACTTTGTTTTTTGTGAGTCTTTAGTTTCCTGCATCCTTACTGCCATATTGACCCTGCATTTACCTGCATCTGTCCTGAAAAGAGACAGATGCAGGTTGACTTGAAAGACTTGAAAGACAAAAGACTTGACACCCCCATTGTGTGCAACTACCTGAACTTGCATCTGCAGGCTCAGACCAAGTCAAAGGTTGCCAAAGTTTTACTTATTTCTGTGAAAAATGTCTTAAATATTTGTTATGCCATAGATGTGTACATTTTTCATTATTTTTTACCTGAAAATGCCTTTGCAATGCCATAATTCCTCTAAACCTTGGATTATGATATAATGCCATGAAACTTGCTGCAGTGTCACTACTGTATGTCATGCCACTACTGTCATGCAATGTTGCTGTTGCTATGCTGGATGTGTTTGGCATGACATTTGTTTTCTAGGTGTGGTGTCAGACCAATTTACTGTTATGTGCAAATACTAAATCATTTCCCGAAACATTGTGAACTTAGAGATGCATTCTTTGGGTAGAAAAGATGGTGCTTTGTTTTCTTTGTTTACACATGTCTGATACAGAAAAGCTATAAAGGATTTTTTGCTGAAACATGCAAAGTGGAGCTTCATGTTACTAGGAGTGATTTTCTGACCATTTCAAAAAAATAATTGTACACCATTCATCGTGTTTAAGGCAGGACATATTGTAAATAATCACAAAACAGGTAGATTCATGCTCTTACCTTCAAATTTTTTATAATTATGATGGCGATGGTCGGTTAAGTCATGCTCAAGTTTGAGTTGGTCTGCGAACATAGGAAGTGACAGCTTTGCTAATCTACAGACTGGTGTGAGTCTGGTACTTTCTCATTTCCCGGCTTTGTTCAAAGGTGATTCCATTCAACATTCACACACTTTTTTACATTTCCATACATGGTGTATCATGTACCTAGGTGGCAACACAGGCTGCTTACTATTGGGCATCTTAGTCTGGTGGGTGCAAGATTTTTGCTCTTGCAGATATCAATACATGGCTCCTGATGGAAGCAGCAAGTCTGAACCTGTTGCATGTTCTGGTTTTATTTTGTCCTGACACAAAGAGGTAAAATAAGCTTTTACAAAAGCTGTTTTTGTTCCATCATGATGGAGTACAAAGTACTTCTTTTTACCTAGTCACAATCCTGGAGTCCAAAATCTCCTGGTATACATTACACCAGGAAACGTCAAGTTTTCCAACACTGGACCATTTTACTGATGTTTTCAAAACCTGAACCAGCTGGTATAGCAGATTTAAAGATTTCTGTACAACCCTAACTTAAACTGCTATGACCTTTGTCTTTATAGTGGGAGTGCTTGTCAGTGATAATTTATGTTTTGTAATGCAAATTTGATCCTTTGTTTTGTTAGATTCTGTAGTAAGAAAAATATAAAATACTTTTCTGGAAATTTGACCTATTTTTAAGCCATGAACTACCAAGAATCTTAGCCCCTTTGATTTGTTATAGCCACTAATGCAATGTTGTGCAATGGGGCTGTGATCTAGAGACATTGGTCAATGGAGAGGTCAGATTGTTTTCCAGTGCTCTAGAATGGGCAATGTATGTGCTCTGCTGGAGAGGGGTGGAGAAAGTCCCCAACTCTTTTCACAGTTTTGATGATTATTGGTCCTGTGGTGCTGCATGGGAAGAAATTCCTGAACCAACCTTGATATTTCTAAAATTTTTGGTATCTGACATAGACTGTGGAATTAATTATATTTTTAGTGTGATATATCTATCATACCAATGATCTATATGAAAACTATGATAGCATCTATGTAGTTGCTATGGTATGCCATTTGCACTGGTGGTTTCAGACTGCTTGCAGATAGCATTGTTATAATGCTGATATATTCCTCAAAGTACTATGGTGACATATTTTCAAAAGTAAACAAATATGGTTGATTCTATGCATGGTTCTTGCAATATGGTTCTACCACCCTTCTATTTTGTACAGTGCTAAAGCATCACATAATCTTGGCACTCATTGAACTGTATGCCAAAACAGATAATGTGGTTTGTCTTTGTTGGCTCATTTCAGAATGGTTTGAGAGAGCCATACTGGAACATGTAGCCATGCCATTGCATAATGTGATACCCTTAAGTCTTGGATGGTTGTGTTGAGCAAGAATTTCTGTATAGCACTACAGGGGCAGGGTTTCAAATAAGTCACCAAGGGTTTCAATAAGTTTAACAAATGTTTCCAATTCCAGTCATTTGTGCAAAACCTTTGGCTAGATGATTGAAGAAGTTCAGGCCCATGACTACTCATGTTATGTAAACACAAGGATCAGCCTTTGGCTAGTTGATTTAAGAAAATCAGTCCCATGACTACATATGTTGTGCAAACACAGTGGCCAGATAGTCCAGACATTTATCAAGGGGTGTTGTTCCATACTCAGTTGAAGAGGCTGTAACCACCCAACTGTGCCTCAACTTGGCCATCTGACCTTCCAAAAGGGGAAATGGGTTAAATCATTGGAGAAATTATACTGAGCATACAAATTGTAATATTTCTAGCCAGTTTTGCTTGGATGCGTTTGCCTCCCACAAGTACTTATGGAAAACATTTTGTTTTTACCTTTTGATAGAATGTGTTTCTTGGATCTGTCCACTGCTCTAACAGTACTTGTTAGTTGAGCCCTTACCCCACAATCATGCATTCTCACCTTAGTTCTCACCCCTGGATATTTCTGTATCATTTACACATCTTTTCATGCCTCATACCACTATTGATGCACCTTCATCAAGCATGCATAACACTTAATCCACCATTGTAGTATTGACTTTTGAGCCAGTGTTTGATGTGCTCAATGGTGCTTGATGACCATATGCAGTCAGCATGCCAAAAAGCCCAGTTCATTATCATGATATACTGGCATCCACTTTCAGAAAAAATGGGCAAGAAGGCACAAAACAACACAGCCTTGGTGCGCCTGAGGCGTGACTACATGCGCCTGAAAGCTGACCCTGTGCCGTACATATCGGCTGAGCCGCTGCCTTCCAACATCTTGGAATGGTAAGCATGCCTGTGTTGATGCTGGCTGCCAGCCGCCAGGCACTCTAGGTGATTTGTGTCAACCATGTTCAACTGGAGGTATCAGGTGTTCATGGGTTAAGGGCCAGCTGACTAAGCCTTTTTTGGAAGAGGGTAATCGTGGTATTGTTCTGCCACCTAGCGGTAGGATTAAATACGTAACTGTTCTGCCATCTAGCAGCAGGAATCAGAACCAAGTTTGGATGTGATCGCTGAATGCGGTGAACACGGACGTTGTGAATTTCGACGTCGCGAGTTTGGATGCTTTGAAGGCCGCCAATGGGCGTGGAACTGGATGCGATGAACACTGCATCTTGCCATTTTGGATGTTATGAATGCTGGCTGCTGTAATTTTGGACGATAGGAACGCGGGACGCCGCAATCATGAACGTTTTGATGGTTCCCCGTCGTATAAATGGTTGAGGCGTTAGAAATTCTGTACAATTCACATGGTTTTATTGATAAAATATGATGTCGGCACCGATAAAGCATGAGTACAACAATGTTGTGTTACCAGATAAGCCCAGTTGTCCTGAACGCTGATCGGTTCACACAAGCAGTATCGAGGCCTATGGCGGTAGCATCCCGAGTCCCGCATGAACAGCGGGCGCTCCCATTGGCACAGGGTGACAGGTCTTACGGGTGTCTTACGGAGGCCTCCGTCCCATCGACCTTACAGAGGCCTCCATCCGTCGGCCTTACAGAGGCCTCCGTCCCGCCGCGTTACAGAGGCCCCGTCCCACCGTCGTACAGAGGCCCCGTCCCGCCGCCTTACAGAGGCATCCGTCCCACCGGCCTTGCAGAGGCCTCCGTCACACCGGTTTACAGAGGCCTCCGTCCGGCCGCCTTACCGAGGCCTCCGTCCCACCGGCCTTGCAGAGGGCACCGTCCCACTGTCCCGCCGTCGGGGGTCCCGTCACGGTCGGCCGTCTTCACGCTTCTTTCTGGAGCGCGACGACGGCGAACGTGAACTCGTCCTGCTCCAGCATGCCGTCGCCGTCGGTGTCGGCGTCCTCCAGCACGTAGCGCACGTGCTCGAGCTGCCGGTGTCCACTGAGCAGCGACGGCGCCACCTCCAGGGCCTGCTGCTGCGTCAGCTGGCCGTTGCCGTCTGTGTCTTCGGCGCGGAAGGCGATGGGCACGACCTCGGCCGGCGGCGGCTCGCTGGCCGCCTGCCGGAAGTCGGCCAGGTTGACGAAGCCGTCGCCGTCGCCGTCCATGAGCGAGATGGTGTGCCTCACGTCGGCGGCGCTGAGGTGCGGCCCGCCGGCCCGTATGATGGGCTCGAGCTCGGCCGGCGAGAGGCGGCCGTCGCCGTCGGCGTCCGACTGGTCCAGCATGCCCTGGAACACCTGCTGCACCTCGTCGCCGTTGAGGCCCATGGGCATGGCGGCGCCCAGCGCGCCCGTCTATGGGTGGAAAAAGCGCGAGGAGAGTGACGGTCTGGCTGTCATCACCGTCATCAGTACACAGCCTCATGTGGTCAGGAAGGTCGTCAGCGAGACACGTCTGGCAACACTTCACGGCCTGCGCAAGCGAACATCAGGTGCCGTTATGACGGCAGCGCTCCGTGATTTGGCCCTGACGTCACACGGTCTCACTGCCCCGCCGTGGGTTGTCCACTCACCAGGGCGATGGTGGCGATCAGCTTCAGCATTGTGCTCGACTGTGTTCGGCTGGAACGGTCAATGCGGACGCGCAGGATGCCGGTGTGAAGGATGCTTGGCAGACGGTCGCCGCGCCCCGCCTTTATACGAATTGGCCGCCCGTCCGCCGGCAGCGGCAGCGGCGTCACCAGGAATACGACGCTGCAGGTGACACGGGATACGGCGAGCTGATATGCCACCCACCCTGTCATGACCCTGTGACATGGCGTGAGCCCACTGCGGTGTCGGACGTTAGGAGACGAGGGCGGGATCAGCGGCCGGCATGACCTGTCGGCCCCCAGAGCGACGCCGCTGGAGCCACTACTGCGCGGCCGGCTGGCCCAGCTGAGTGACGTCACACTGCAGAGCCGTGCAGGATGGCGCGTGTTGGGCACGATTGTATTTTGCGGGCAACAGACGTCGTAGGCCTTATGGACGCTTAACAACTCTTCGACGCGCGTTTTGGCTTTAGGAATGGGTGTATCACGTGGCCCATGGTGGTGCACTGGCGCAAAAATTAATCAATGCGGTGCTTGATAACAGGCTGTTTTGGCCTGCTAGGTGAATCACAAACGTTCCCAACAGTCGAGATGCCACGGCAGTTGACATGACGACAGTGGTCGCGATAACGGCGGGGAAGAAGCGTAGTGTTGATACCAAGTGTTAACAGCGAAGTTTGGACTCAAAGATAATGAATATTGACATCCTTTTATGACTCATCCTTTGATAACTTGCATAGGTGTAGGAGCATTTAAAAGGGGGGGGGGGCAAGCTTAGGGTGTACTTCAGGAGCTTTTTCTGGAAAGCGAGCGCGATGACCGGGGGAAGGAGGGGGGCGGGGGGGGGTAGGGATGGGGATTGCTATCGCTCTTTATTCAAATGTCACGGCTTCTGTGCTAGCTATGCATCTAGAGCTGTTTTTCACTGGTGCACTATATTGCCTATTCGACTCATCTGTCATTTGGCAAATAAGGCTATCCAGCTCCCCTAGATTTTTCGTCCATTTTAACACTGTCTTTCCTGGGGAGACGCAATTCCACGATCGAGTAGGTATTTTTGGTCGTTAAGGAAGCATTTGCCTCCACAGTGTAGATGCCAAAATACGGCATGGATATAGGCTGGTGAGAATTTTGAAAGTGGCTGGATGGCTCACAATGCGCCATGTTTTTAATGCGCCTTCATTTCGCTGGCTGCTTTTCAGGAAATAGGACTTGTCGCAGTATTTTAGGCGGAAACAAATTCGAGAGCTTGAAACTGCTAGAAACCATGTGACAAAATCCACAAAACTGGAGATTGTCTTTTAAGAATCAAGCCACATAATAAGGCCCATCTGTCACATGCTCTTGTCCGCCGTCGGTGGCCACTGCCCTGGCCTGGATGTCTCCCACATGGCTGACTGCGAGCTGATCGTGTGGCTACTTTGTTGCATACTTTTGGATCAGCGTTACTTCTACATGGTGTATGAAACATGTGTTGGACACCTGCAACAGTATTTTTCCCAAAGTATCTTCCCTTATACCACACCGTCGCAGAAAAATAGTCTCCGTGAAGCTGCCTGCTGTAGGATGGATTGGCCCAACGGACGCTTCATTGCCCATCATGCAACGTACGCGACTTGATCTGCTTTTGGGTGTAGGCAGGGGTGTAGCCAGAGCCTTGCCAAGAGGGAACACAGGGTTGACAAAAGCCCATCTTATGGTGACCCTCCCCCCCAAAAAAAATCCCCGGATAGGGCTTACTTGTTAACAAGTGACACGGTTTTCTTCGTTTTATTGTTATTTTTACCTTGTTACCAGAGCAGAAATCAGGAGTTACCGTGAGCTCAATTTTGTTTGCATTTTGAGGTCAATAAGCTGCAGAAATCGGGCGTTGAACGACTGCATGGAAGAAATCACCGGCGCTCTTAATTCACAATGGTTAGCTGACTCTTTCTAAACCGATAGAATTCAGAAGCTTTGTCAATTTTTTTTTATCTGTGTTCTACAGACCTTGAGGACATTGCGAAGGTAGATTGCAGATCAATATGTTGGATCCAAATTTGAAGACGAAATTTCGATTGCAAATCGAGTGGTCGACAATGTGTATTAACATGGCCAAGCCATGTTTGTCTGAAAATTTTCACCATTCAGTCCGAATCGATAGGTGAAACAATGCATGTAACGTGTTTTTAACATGCTCGCTCGCAAATCCTAGTAACAAAAACCTTGACCCCAGGCGTTGAAGTCTTCGCAGTCCGCGGAGCGTTAGCACAGTAGCTAATATTTAGTCGTGGCCCACCGGTGGACGAAAATGATGACGCTTCTGAAATGATTACCTTTAAACACTTAAATCAACTAGTTATACAGGTTATGTGGCGTAATTTTGAGTATGCGCATTCTAAAATTTTAGAAACGTAAGCCTCGCCCCCCCCCATAGGCGTTGCAGTCTCCGTAGGACGCACAGCATCGCCCTAGCAGCTAATATTGAGTTGTGGCCAACGGGTGCACGAAAATGACGACGCTTCTGAAAAAGCATCCTTGGACGCTTCATGGCATCACATCTTGTATTTAAAAGGCAGTCTGAGGGCATGTTTCACGCGCGCAATTTTTAGATTGATGAAAAGAACGGATTGGGCCCAAAAGCACCGCGAAGTGGTGCTGTAATCTGGTGGTTTAACTGGAAGAGTGAAGGTAAAATCTCTATTTTTCTTTCGTGTTTCCGCAGCTATTTATCTGTCCAGAAGACGGATTAACTCGGCGCCCGCCGTCTGGTGGCACTTGCAGTGGCCGAAACTTATCGGTTTTACGGAAGTTGCAACCCAGACCATCCTTGTCCTTGCTCTGGAGGTTGCGGGCGGGCGTGTTCAAGCATTTTTATGTATTTTGTTTCAGTAATACATTATGAAAGAAATGAACGTTCTCAGGCAAACATGGCATGACCTTGCTGGTTTTTTAAAAATTCATTTCGACCCGTGCTTTTCAACAATGATGAGAGCCCCACTCTACTCAGCAATAGTGAGACCCTGTATTCCCTTCCGAGCAAGGGGCCTCTTTAGTGGAACACCAGGGGTACCTTACCGTTTCCGGTCAAGGGCTGAAGGACCATTCCGTCCCATCACGAAGTGTCCTCTGGGTATCATTCTGGTGCACGGGGTCACGGGTGATCTCTTGGTCAATCCGGAGGTTATTAGAAGGATATGTGATATCACATTGTTCCCATCCCTGACACGGGAGGCCTTCTGATCCGCGCATTTAACCCCGGATCAGCAGCAACAGGGACCCTCATTGACGCAACATCCCTGATCACCGCAGACAGTCCGATAGTTTTCACATAGACTCCAGTTCCATGTTTTTCTGCGCCCTTCAGAGATATTGATTTCTCCCTGACTGCAGATTGCAGGTGAAATGGGATTCATAATTTGCATTAACATGACTAGCCCATATTCGTCTTGTAATGCTCAAGATCCTGTCAGAGCTGATTACTGATAAGAAAACTACGTAATATGGTGTTGAACATGCGTGCTCGCAAGTCATAGCAATAACAGCCCCGACGCCCGGCGTTGCAGTCTCCAGGCCGTGCGGCGCAGGTCTTGCGGCTGTAATACAAAGCGATGGCCAATGAGCAAACGAAAAAGATGACGCATCTTGAGAGAGATGGCTGGTGAACTAGGTAAATCGGCGTGCATGTTTAATGAAGTGCAAAAATAAGCCAAATACAACCTTAATCTGAAAAGCGGGGGGGGGGGGGGGGAGTTAACATTGATTTGAGAAGAAGTGGGGTGCCGTGGGTGCCACACCTTGAGAAGTGGGGTGCCGTGGGCCCCCTGGGCCCCTGTTCCCACGCCCATAATGACTGGCCCTGAGGTGCCACGAGAGTATTTTTTTGCAATATGCTCCAAAGGTGGGATACTTCCTCTGAGGCAAAAGAGGAATCATTCACTCGAATACGATGACCTTACGATTATGCTGAACAGCAAATCTAAGGCACGAAAATAATCTTGACTTCCAGCTTTTTTGTAATATGCGACTTATGATGATGACGTTACAACTATTACAATGCACAACCATCGCAAAGGAACAATTAGTCACAAGGCTGCTGATTTTAGCTTTCTGATTGGCATTGCGTGTGACTTTATAAATGGGGCCGAGAGAGCCAACACAGACTATCGAAGAGAGCAGTGTTCTAGATGTTAAGAGTGCCGAGAGCCCGCAGGCTCTGGATTGGCAACAGTGCGCTGTTCATGTTCACATTTTTAAACATTCACTGCGCACACGTTTTTCCCGTTGCCGTCGCAATGCAGGCCTTCATGAGCGTGGTTCGTTTTATATGATTCGCCCCTCTCTCATGCACGTGCTCTATCCAATCGCTACCCATGCCTATCAGTTGTGCTCACACGTTGCTGGTTTGCGTTCTTTTTTTGTATTGAGGTGGTTGAAATTGTGATACCTAGGAACTTTTGCGCCGTGACTCATTTTTCTGCGCCGCCAACCGCAGACACAGTGTGAATGGAACTATGTGTGATCCCAGCACGCACGGCAGCAACTTGTGAGGTGTTTCATGAAGTGCACGATATGTGTCGTGAGCATCTTACCCACACCTGCGTCCATGCTCGCGATGGCCCCAAAATGCATACCCAAACTAGTCAGTTACCCGGCCGGTACGAGTATCCACGGGCTTACCCAACCGTTGAAGGCCGCTGCTTCTGGACACCATCTGGTGACACCCCTCTCTGGCATCTGGGCGGTCGCCGGCGCATTGCCGGAGGGAGAGGGAGGGGGAACACCCTCCGTGCCTGGAAACCCACCACCTGGAGCCTGCGCGGTCCAAACTGGAAATGACGTCACTCTGTGTGCGAGAGTGGGGCCACTGTCGGCGCGCACTGCCTGGCTTGTTCGATGCCGGCGGTTCAGTGCGTGTGCTTGGTGTGCAGATCCGTGTCTGGATCGACGCTGGGAGCGTGTCCTCACCAGCAAGCACTACGCCGCGCGCCAAACGCTTCATCGGTCTCGCTCGTATTTGTGTACTAGCACCCGGCACGCGGTCGACTCTGGACAGACAAATAGGGCGAGCAAAGCCTGGTGTGGATAGGCCGGCTTTGCGAGACGCGCAGGCATTTGCTCTCATCGCGAAAATGTTCTGGGCAACCGCGGCTGTCATCCGTGTGTGATCAGCGCGGTCATGGCGACCTTGATGTTGCCGCCAACGGGCCTCGTGGGCTTTCTAGTCAACATTCCAGTCCAGTGTTTATTATGGTATTCTCTTAAACAGTGCATGGACTGCGGGATCTCCTCGGAGAGGAGCGACATTAGTCTGGGCCCGCTCGTGAATCTCAAACGTAACTCAGCAGGAGCCATATTTTGGACTGGGAGTGAAGAGGAGCGCGCCGCTGTCAGCAGATAGCTACACCAAACATGCAGAGGCAACATGATGGCTTTAACGAGCGTGCGAATACAGCGGTAGCCCGGCCAGGATTGCGCCTTAGGTGCGGCCAGCAGCTGGTACGGAGTGATCGGGCCCGTTTGCCCCTGTGGTACGCTTGCATTTTAGCTGGTTCGCTATGTCCCCAGTGTGTCCGTTCGTGGGCGGTGGTCTATGTTGCCCATAGCCGGGCAACACGTGGCCGCATGTTGCCCGGCTGTGGCCGACGCGGTCTCATTGTCCCGGGCAGGCTGCGACAGTAGCCGGCGTCTCCTCGGCCGTACGGGCACTACATCGTGCAGTTGTCCGTGTCTCTCCTCGTCCGTGTCGGCACTACATCGTACTCTACCCCGCGTCTCTCCTCGTCCGTGTCGGCACTACATCGTACTCTACCCCGTGTCTCTCCTCGTCCGTGTCGGCACTACATCGTACTCTACCCCGCGTCTCTCCTCGTCCGTGTCGGCACTACATCGTACCGTAGCCCGCGTCTCTCCTCGGCCGTGCAGGCACACATCGCACTGACGCGAGCATCTCTCCTCTTTCGTGCAGGCACACATCGCACTGACGCGAGCATCTCTCCTCGGCCGTGCAGGCACACATCGCACTGACGCGAGCATCTCTCCTCTTTCGTGCAGGCACTACATCGTTCGCGGACCGGAGGGCACGCCGTACGTGGGCGGCCTGTATCACGGCATGCTGCGCTTCCCCTCCGAGTACCCGTTCCGGCCGCCCAGCATCTACATGATCACGCCGAACGGCCGCTTCAAGCCCAACACGCGGCTCTGCCTCTCCATCAGCGACTTCCACCCGGACACCTGGAACCCCAGCTGGAGTGTGTCCACCATCCTGACGGGCCTGCTCAGTTTCATGGTGAGTGCTGCCGCCGAGACGTGCGCGGGAGGGGTCCGGGGAGCCCCCGGCACGGCGCGCTCTCAGAAGCCGGGCCGACCCCCGGCCGCCGGCTGCCTCGGGGCGGAGTTGCACCACGATTTGACGGCAGAGTGTATGGACGGCTTCGTAGAATCGCGTTCATCTGGTGTGCAAGCCCCGTCGCGCTCAGTATTTGTGTATTTAGTGGTTTGGTCTGCTTTCATTTATTTTTGTTTTGATCGCTAGCTGAACGTTATCCGTTCGATTTTGTGGGAGTTTAGTACTCGATTTAGACACGCATTCCAGTTGACCAGTGATTTTCGTTTGCCTGCATTTTATATTTATTCGCCTGATCCTTCGACACCTGACATTTAGCCAGGTTTGTATCAGCCATCGTGTTCTGTTTAACCCAATTCATGACCACTGACCACTGCGACATATTCCCAGCATATATTCCCTGCGACACGTTTGCTCACCACCCGGGCCCCGAATCGACGCCCCTCGCTGTCCGGCGTCGGCGGCAGCCCCGGCTCGAGCCGTGTGGTGACGCGCCGACTGACTCCCGCTCGCCGCCGGGTCCGCTTCAGCTGGAGGTCTCGCCCACCGTCGGCAGCATAGAGACGTCCGACTATGAGAAGCGCATGTACGCCCACCACAGTCTGCAGTACAACATCAACGACCCCACGTTCTGCGAGCTCTTTCCGGACGAAGTGCAGGTGGGGCCGAACGGCCGTCTCCGGCCCCGCTTCCTGACTGCGTTGTCGTCTCGGAACTCATCCTTACGGGGTTATTGACCTCCTGATCTTACCTCCTGACAGCGCAGTGTTGCGCGAAGCTCCTGTTATAAGTTATTTCATGAGAGTGCCACCTAGACCTTCCTCCCAAGTGCTCGCTTGTCGCCTAGGACGAAGCCCTGATTCCGGTGCTTTGCCTCCGCCCCTAGACTGCGATTCGTTTGTTATCCATGACTTGACCGTCGGACGCGGTAAAGTATGGTTGTTCACCTCGTAGATGTGGACCCTGACTTTGCTCGTGCGACGTTATGCCGGACATTTCTTTGCAGCGTTGTTCGAGATTTTGTCTTCGAGGCGTTGCTAGATTGTGTTTTTATAATTCGGCCCGGTGCTTTGCCTTTTGTCATTGTGTAAAGTTCGACCTCTCGTACTTGTCACCGGAAATTCGGACCACTTCGACCGTCCGACATTGAGAGACTGATCCAATCGTTGACCAGCGCGGGACGTGGAGGTGCTGCGGGCCGCTTCGATCGTGACGCATGCAGCCCGTTGCAAGCGCCCGGGTGGCCGGCTGAATACCCTTCGCTCGGTGTGGGGGGGGGGAGGCAGGGGGAATTTGAACCCTCCCCTGAGGTCTCGGGTACTAAGAAAGCTAGAGACACCAAATTTACAGGGTGTGTTGACCTGTACGTGGACTCACTTAGGTCAAAGTTCAAGGTTACTAGGTCATGACCTTCGGGTCAAATAATGTCAAAGAAGGTTAAATTCCGGATTGGTCTCCAAAGCGCCCCCAAAACCTATCTAACTGACTATGCAAAAGGTCACTGCTCATTCAAGGTCAGTGACCTTGTGTGATCTTTTGGAGGTCATGGTGATCAAAATCATACAAGACTGCTCCGAGTTTTGCATTTGAATAGGCGACAAAGATTACGCTAGGCAGTATGTTTCTAAAAACGAAATGTTTCGAAATGTTTCTAATGTTTCTAATGTTTGTAAGTGTTTCTAATGTTTCAAATGTTTCTAAAAACAAAACAAAAAACCTGGGTCATTTTTGGTCAGTGACCTATTGTGACCTGTAAGAAGTCCGTGGTAGATGCATGATGTGGTTCTTGCTATCAATAAATTGGAAGTGAGCACCAGAAAGTATCCCGTACAGCAAGCCCCAGAGTAATAAAACAGATTGGTTTTGACCTTGGTCTGACCCCCATACCTGACCTCAGGTCAATGTTATTTGCGTATTCACTAGTAGTGCTGCCTAAGAAAGCGTCTCAGAGATGTATGGCATAGTCTAACACTGCTTTGTTGCATCAGATTGAACGACTCCCTAGAAATTGACTTCGCTGAAACCATGGCCTGACTTTGACCTATAAGTCAGCGACATTGCAAGGGACATCTAAATTGTGATACCAAACGATCCGCTTTTCAATTGTGTACAGCTATGCAAAATTTGGCGCGGCTACACTGTGCCGTTCGCAAAGCACTCTGAAAAACCTTCGGGGGTCAATTGGACCCTCACCCGAGCACATGTTATATCACCAGCTGTCTGCTGGTGACCCAGTTACGCCAGCAGGCGTCACTGTGACACCAGCGAATTCGGGCTGACGGCACACACGTGCGACAGATCCCATGTTGCCATCGAAGGGTGTCGGCGTGTTCCTCCTACGCTCAGGAGCTCCAGGCCACGCTGCCTTCCCTTTTATAGAGCCTCGGCGACTTCGGCGTCGTCCACATGTCCCCATTTAGACTCCTGTGATCCCAGCATGACCCTTGCGACCTGATAGTAACCCTACGGACTTGGCTCGACTTATGGTGTCGGAGCGATCTTCCGCTGATCCCAGCGTGACGCCCTGAGACCTGTAGTGACCTCGCGGTTGGGCTGGCGCGCAGGAGATCCAGACGACGCTGGCACGCCGGCGGGAGAGCGCAGCGGAGGCGGCACAGGAGACTGCCGGCGCCGAAGCAGCACGCCGCTCGGCCGGCGACACCAACTCCGGTCTCAGCGCCGCGCTCAGCAACCTCATCGTCATGGCCGGCTTCGTGCTGTTCGCCGGCATCGTTCACTACGTGGTCACGCAGGACTTGTAGGGCGCCGCCGCGCGGGGCGCGACGTGCGAGAGCGGGGCGTCAGCTCCCTGGCGGTGCCGAGCTGAACCAGCAGCTGCCGACCGGCGGCGCCCCCGACCGCGGCCTGACGTGGCTCGGAGGCTGTGGCGCCGCCTGACTGTTGGTCAGGGAGCTCGCCGCCCGGCATGGGCAGAGCCAAGGCGATAGGGTCGACAGGTGGCATGCGACTTAGGACGAACGGACGGGCGGCGGCGGCGCTCGTGCGGCTGTTTTGGTGCTGCGGTACCGCGGCGTGGGGGAGACGCCGGCGCGTTCAGTCGCTGGCCTATCGTAGCAGGTTTAAACTTCTTGAAGTGGGGTGGCGGCTGTTGAAATCGGTCGCATTTATCTGTGACCTAGTGTTTTTTGTGACCTCGCTTTGGGCGTAGCGGGATGTGATTTTTTCGAGGTCGGATGGAAGCCGGGCGCCTCCGCCGGCGTGCCGACAGGACCTCTCGCGGCCGTGCGTATCAGCCGCTGTGCGCACAGTTGGCGCCGTCGCTCCGTCGGAATGGTGATCACGATACGCAGCAATGCCAAAATATGCCGATTTGGAATTGCTCTGGACTGAATGTGATGGGTGGAAGGCCACCAGGCGCGTGGCACCGCGCTGATGTGGAAGCACGTGTTACGGGCACGTGATGACAACGCGAGCGTCGGCCACCCCGCGGTCCACTCGAGCTCGGACTGCGCCTTGCCTGCCGACCACGTGTACGTGCGGCGCTGACCACGGAGATATGCGTGTTGTGAATATACGAATACCCCTATCGTCATATACGAGCGGAGCTCTGGCAGCATCCAACTGGCTTCAGTCTGCTGGTCCGCAATCCCGTGACGTCGTGACTCCGGTGTCTGGCGTCACGGCTAGAGAGGCTGTAGCGGGCAGGGCGGAAAGGCGTTGGGAATCCCAGCGGACATCCCGGCGGCGGGCGGCGGACGATGGAACGGCCGTGGACGGATGCACACCAACAGGGGTCCGCACCGTCCGTGCTGGAAATGGCCATATGTTAGACGTCAGAAAAAGATCCAGTGCTTGGTAACATATGAAAGATACCGGGAAACTACACGGACAGACTGCTGCAGTGCCACGGTGCACCGATCCAAAACAAGATGGTTTATAAGCAGTACGGTGTCGCGCACTGCTGTGAACATATGTCTGGCACCCTTCCGGAAAGACCTTATGCAGGTAGTGAACCGGAGTTGTTAGTGTGTATTATTCTGGATGTATGAATACTTTGATTGCATGGTCGGCTTTTTACAGGTGATTGGTTGAGGTGTTAGCCAGTGAGGTGGCCGGGCGCAGCTCCCCGTGCTATGCGGGGGGGGGGGGAGGGGTGATGATAATGCCGGTGATTACTTTCACCGATGTTTTTAACTCGACGTAGGTGCTGATGTCTGCTTTTCCCAGAGGTGTGCTGTTTGGTTGTCGGCAGGGTGCATACTTATTGCTTTTGTGATCAATCCATGTTCATGTTTGTTTTTTCTCGGTCGCTCTACTTAATGTCAGAAATATTCCCGGAGGGAACGAAAATACATGACTAACTTAAACGCCAGTGCCCCATGCTCAGCAGAAGAGCTTATTGAAATGGCAAGGATTCGGAAAATAGAATCTTCCCTCAGCATCCATTGCATTTACTGAAGTTTGCTTTAACGCAGGAAACGGAAGTGCGTAACCTCTGATGCTCAATGAAATTGTTGTAAGTGCGAGGCTGCCGAGAAAAATGATTTCGTGACACTGCTGATCATATGAGCCCTACAAATAATCACGGTGTTTTACTGTAGACTTAAGGCGAATTGGAGAAATAGAAAGTAAGGGCCTGAAAACAAAACGCATGCGGATGTGAAGCAGACGATCCTGCTCGCTTTGGTTGAACATGGACACACCGTTCCGTCGGTCGGAGTCTTGCAGATGCCGCAGATGCACAGTATAGATGCCGGGTCGGACTTCTGGGCTCGACCCCGGTATCTCCTCCAGCAGACTGCGGCATGTTGGTCCAGAGTTTGTGACGTCATCACCCTAGCTTGCCACTAACGCAACAGAGCGCACAGCTGCCGGCCACGGTGTGCTGCAGGCTTCCGCGTGTTTGTCCAGAGCCTGTTACGTCACGAGGCCACTGGCCGATGACGTCAAAGGCTCCCAGCTGCAGGTCGCAGCATGCACCCAGCTCCAGTCTGCTGGTCCTGAACCTATGACGTCATGACCCCCGTTGTGTCTGTGACGTCACGGCCTGAGGCGGCCGCTTCAGGACGCCATCTGTTGGGAATCCCAGAGGACATTCCGGCGGCGGGCGGTGGCCAAGGGAACCCGTGAAAGAATACACACCAACAGGGGTCTGCACGGTCCCGACTGGAAATGGCGATGTGTTGGAATCTAACACTCGTTAACATAGCACTATGTAATAGGGCATGACAACAACAGACTACTTTAGTGCCACAAGGCACGACATCACTGAACCAAAATGTTGTTTACGCCGCCGCGATATTGACGCATCCGTGTTGAGCGTTCGTTATTGTGTGATGTGATGTTGGGTGCATTCAGGAGTTCAGCAGTTTGAAGCTATCCTTTGCTGGCCAAATGCTGATGCGTGAATTGCGCGTGCGATTCAACACCGTCATAATTGTTCACGTGCAGTTTAGTTTAGCGGACTCCGTTAACGCATAGGTGATACTCTCCAGGAAAGGTCTTGCTGAAGAAGCGAGTTGTGTTTGTGATTGTGCATTGTCCCATAAATATTAATGCAGACAGAATTGTTATTTTCAAGAGTTTGTGGGGGTGCGCAAAGCCTATTAAGTTGATTTAATCTACCCACAAATCCTGACATATGCCGAATTTCGACCACTTGTATTTGCGTCCGCGATGCCATAATTAACCTAAAAAAGTTTGTTGGTTCCGAAACTGTTGTGACGTCAAAGAATGACATCCCGTTTTCAGCTGATGTGATGACGGTGATAAGATATGATGATAATGACGCCCATGGCGCATGATGTATTTAGGTTTTTAGGGTACCAGCAGGCTAGACGATTCCTGCATTTTATTTGCGTAGGATTCTCCTTTGCTTTGGCCAGGTGCGACTCTCCGGTGCTAGGGCAGGGTGTCTGAGTTGGTGTACTTTGTCACCCGGCGTGTCCGTCCTTGACTGGTGGTCCGTGTGTTGCCCGGTGCGGTCCCGTGTTCCTCGCGGCGGGCTGCGACTGTAGCCAATGTCTCCGCCGGTGCGTACAGGCGTCATCGTCAGCGGGTGGGAGGGCCCGCCGTATCTGGGCGGGGTCCACCACGGCGTTGGGCGGGATGCGCCGCGTCTCACGCCTCTACAATGCCACAGATCAGTGACGGTACTGATTTCTTCAGCTCGGGTATCCCTCAAGCGGTGCACGACAGCTAGCGTGGGTGTTTCTGTCCGTCTCGCAGAAAACCCGAGGTCATTTGCTTCGTTTGTCGTGAAGCTTACGATGGTTGAGGCGCCACAGAATTTGTTCAGACATTTGCATGCTGAGTGGTTCACGCAGTTTTATTGGCAACATATGGAATTGGCAGAGGTGAAGCATGGATATGACCTTATTGCACAACCGGACAAGTTCAATGGTCTCTATCACACATCAGTTCACAATAGCGGCGTGGATGCCTGTGACGGTAACATCCCGACCCCACATGGTCAGCCGGTGACCCCATTGGCACAGGGTGACCAGCCTCACAGACAACTCCGTCCCGCCGGCCTTACAGCGTCTTCACACTTCTTTCTGGAGTGCGACGACGGCGAACGTGAACTCGTCCTGCTCCAGCATGCCGTCGCCGTCGGTGTCGGCGTCCTCCAGCACGTAGCGCACGTGCTCGAGCTGCCGGTGTCCGCTGAGCAGCGACGGCGCCACCTCCAGGGCCTGCTGCTGCGTCAGCTGGCCGTTGCCGTCTGTGTCTTCGGCGCGGAAGGCGATGGGCACGACCTCGGCCGGCGGCGGCTCGTTGGCCGCCTGCCGGAAGTCGGCCAGGTTGACGAAACCGTCGCCGTCGCCGTCCATGAGCGAGATGGTGTGCCTCACGTCGGCGGCGCTGAGGTGCGGCCCGCCGGCCCGTATGATGGGCTCGAGCTCGGCCGGCGAGAGGCGACCGTCGCCGTCGGCGTCCGACTGGTCCAGCATGCCCTGGAACGCCTGCTGCACCTCGTCGCCGGCGAGGCTCATGGGCATGGCGGCGCCCAGCGCGCCCGTCTGCGGGTGGAGAAAGCGCGTGAGGAGAGTGACGGTCTGGCTGTCCTCGCCGTCATCAGTACACAGCCTCACGTGGTCAGGAAGGTCGCCAGCGAGACACGTCTGGCAACACTTAACGGCCGGCGCAAGCGAACATCAGGTGCCGTTATGACGGCAGCGCTCCGTGATTTGGCCCTGACGTCACACAGTATCACTGCCCCGCCGCGGGTTGTCCACTCACCAGGGCGATGGCAGCGATCAGCTTCAGCATTGTGTTCGACTGTGTTCGGCTGGAACGGTCAATGCGGACGCACAGTATGCCGGTGGGAAGAATGTTTGGCAGACGGCCGCCGCGTCCCGCCTTTTTACGAATTGGTGGCCCGTCCACCGGCAGTGGCAGCGCGTCACCAGGAATGCAACGGTGGGGGGTGACACGGGAATACGGTGTGCCGATAAGCCACCCGCTCCGCCGTGACCCTGTGTCATCGCGTGAGCCCACCGCGGTGCCGGATGTCAGGAGACGAGGGCGGGATCAGCGGCCGGCATGACCTGTCGGCCCCCAGAGTGACGCCGCTGGAGCCACCACTGCGCGGCCGGCCGGCCCGGCTGTGTGACGTCACACTGCAGAGCTGCGCATGATGGCGCGTGTTGACGACAATGGTATATTATGACCAGCAGACGTCGCTGACCTCAAGGTCTAACCCCGAGCCCGATATCAGGACCTTTGACCGAGCTCAGAGAGTGTGCTGAGGATCACAGATCCACGAATGGCGCGTGTCAGGCTAATCACGCCCACCAGTTGGTGCCTGACCTGGAAGGTAATGCAGACTAGTGATGCGTCGATGATTTGCCGGTGCTGTGTTGCAAGACGTCGTCCTCCGTGCACTGGCCTGGAAGACGCTTGTCTGCATTTCTGATGGTTAACCATAGGTGGTTCCCCACATTTCCGCCTTTGGTTCCCCATATTTCCGCCGTAAGTTAGCTACTTGGAGGCAGACAATTGTATCATATTCCTCATACAGCGCAGGCTAGCCTGATGACTATCTTCGGTCTTCAAGATAACGCATAGTTCGATCCCTACACTCCCGATTTGTCTGCACTGCTGGACCTTGGTCGACGGTATCCCCCTGTTATTGACAGTAAAGTATTTGGGCAGTAGTTGCGGTCTTAGATTTGCCATCGCTCGCATCTGGATATATAGGCGAGCAGGCCCCAAGCAGGATATTCAGTTTTCGAGAGATGTATTGTACTTGTCTGTGCTTCGTGAATCATGCAGTGCCGTCATAGGATTCACCGCACGTAAAAGCGTAATTACGACCTGGCCTGAAGAAGGTCCCCAACTGGTTCTCATACAGTGCATGTCTGCCCAGCCGAGTGCGCACACAGCGTGGTCCCTTGTGACAGTGATAGGCTCGGCAGCCACGTGCATCTACGCGCGCCTGATGCGCTCCCTGGGTATAATACAGGTACAACTTGATCGATATAAACATCAATGGAATCCACCTGTTATTGACCGTAAAGTATTTGGACAGTAGTTGCGGTCTTAGATTTGCTATCTCTCCTATCTGGATATATAGATGAGCAGGCCCTTTG